TCTCCTTCCTCCCCCTTCCCCCACTTTTTTCGCGATTCTTCCCATACAACGCTGATGCATTACTTATAAAACTATTGAAAGATGTGTTGTTAGCCGCTCTATTGGCTTTAGATTATTATTATTATGAATAAACATTTCTTCTTTAACACAAGACAATTGAACTGTTCCACGCCGTGTATAATTCCCTCTTCTACACGGATATCAAGTTTATTCAACAGCGAAGACCGTCCTAAAATATTACGAAAATTTAATTAAATCATGCACACAGAAGTGTCAGCTTTGTTTAATAGCCCCGACACAGCCTCGTGGGAGACGGCCACACGAGTGGCCTGGGAGACGGCCTGGCTTCCAGAGGTAGCAATAAAATGTGAGACATTTATAGCAACAAATGACTTCGGTTATTAGGGGCGATAATCGTGTGACGAAGGGAATGAGGACAGGGGGAGTAATCTAAGTCGTCCTGGCCTCATGACACATAATGACATTAACAGATCTCGATGTCAGGGTTTAATTACTCAACTGTGGCCACAGAGGTGATAAAATTGTGATGGGAGATGTGATAAGTGTTCTAGTGGCTCTTACTTCGTGATGCACTTGTAATAAATACAGTAAAACTAGTTTTGTGATAACATCATGTAGCAAATTGTTATAGAGCAGTGGTTCTCAACCTTCCTATTGCCGCGATCCTGAAATAAGGTTCCCTATGTTGTGGCGATCTCCAATCACACAATTATTTTCGTTGATACTTTATAACTGTGGAGTATATGTGTTTCCGGAGGGTCTTGGGCGACACCTGTGAAAGGGTCGTGTGACCCCCCAGGTTAAGAACCGCTGTTATGGAGTATTGCAATAGAAATTACCATTGACAAGTAAAACGGATATTGGCATATTTTCAGTAAGAAAGGTGATGGATCACTCTTATCCCGGGCACTGTAATTCTGCTACTGTGGCTATGCTGTGCCGCACACAGAGGTCACGGGACGAGTACTGCACCAGGTCGTTGATCCATATAAGGAATATAGCATGCGTTCACTTAATTCAGATGATGAAAAATATCGACGGCTCAGATTTATAGGCAGGAGGAAAAGCTCAAGCACGGTACGTCTGGCTCTGCTTGGCACGTGCAGGCAGCTTCAGAAGTTGACATCCAACGGGGAAACAGTCAACATTGTTGACAAATAAATGCTCCATCAAAGTTATTATTTCAAATTGCTCTTTATTACCGTTGTCGTTCTTGTTTTCTTTGCCGATAACTGGCTGAATTTAAATAAGATATCATGAGAAAAATGTCAACATTTTGTTTTTTATATTTTTTTAATAAAACACATGTTATTATTACATGTATTTGTAAACATCAATCAACCACACCCACTTACCCCCGGCCCGTAGTGAAACACTGATGTCATTGTCTAGTATTTCATATCAGGACGTCACAATGTCCACATATTTTGTACAATTGTCAACTGTCATATTCCTAAGCGTTACAAAACACTTTCTCCCCCATTGCGTACGCCTTCCAGTCCCAGCTTTTATACATGGGCATTTGTAACAAGTACCTCAAGCAAGGGAATCGTTTATCCTCGTTAGCAACAACAACAAATACTTTGATCAATGGTTCTGGTACTTACACGGCCTATTCTCTCAAAGATGAACCATTTTATTTTAATAATTTTAAAAAAAAATAACTACTCAAACGGGGTGCTATCTGGAAACAAGAAAAATGTTATTTTACTATTGAAGAGTTCTCTGTACAGTGATATGGGATGTGTCCTAATTATGACGTAGCCTTTTCTTTCTTTCTTTTAAAACGCAATCCCATTCCTATGTCTTCCTATTAAAAGTGTTGTGGTCATTGAAAAACCAAACTGTGCGTCTATCGAGCTTGTGTCATCAGTACACTACTATACGGGAGCGAGACATGGACCACCTCTACATCCCAAGAGCGCAAGCTTAATAGCTTCCATATGAGATGCCTGCGTCGCATCCTTGGTATTAAATGGCAAGAAAAAGTGACTAATAGTGAGGTCCTAATGCGTGCGAATACCCAAAGCATGTTCACAATCCTTAGTGAAAGACGCCTGAGATGGCTAGGTCATGTTAAAAGAATGAGTCCCGGCCGCATTCCGAAAGACCTCCTATATGGTGAACTTGCTTCGGGAAAGAGGAAAACAGGTCGCCCACGTCTGTGATTTAAAGATGTCTGTCAAAGAGACATGAAAGCAGCCAAAATACATACAAGTGACTGGGAGTGTAAGGCAAAAGACCGATCTACGTGGCGCACAGTTGTCAAAGAGGGCGTCATGGTAGCCGAGGAGCGAAGAATGGAAGAGGCTGCAAGTAAGGCAAAAGACCGATCTACGTGGCGCACAGTTGTCAAAGAGGGCGTCATGGTAGCCGAGGAGCGAAGAATGGAAGAGGCTGCAGACAGAAGAGCTAGGAGAAAGGCCAAAACATTTGGAAGCACGGAACTCGTGTGTAAAAACTGTGGTAAAGACTGTCACTCAAGGATAGGACTGCACAGCCACTCGAGAAAATGCAACCCAACCCAACGGTGATGCACCATCGTCTTACGGGACGGAAGGATGCCGATTACAGTCATTGAAAGAACTCAGAATTTTAAATTCAAAGAACCTCTAACACACCCTAATGTAATGTTTTCATTGAAAGAACTCAGAATTTTAAATTCAAAGAACCTCTAACACACCCTAATGTAATGTAGTCATTGAAAGAACTCAGAATTTTAAATTCAAAGAACCTCTCACACGCACTAATGTAATGTAGTCATTGAAAGAACTCAGAATTTTAATTTCAAAGGACCTCTCACACGCACTAATGTAATGTAGTTTATTTTATGAACGCACCATGTCAAATTTTAAGTATTAAAGAGATTTTTTAAAAACGCAGCATTCCACTGAACTTATTATCACTTAATGTCACGTATGCTTTCCAACAGTGCCACAGTATTTAACAACGTTGGTTTGGATGTCCTGTTATAGCGTCTAAGTACATGTTCCCTATCAGCCACTTTGGTTTGTAAAAGGGAACATCTAACAGTAGAACATTCTATATTTATATCAAACGTGAATTTACTATTTAGAATTTATCTTTGGGATCAAAATGATACCTGTAGAATTACAAGGTCCCTGGCAGATGCCTTCTTTGGCTGTACCAAAGTCCTCTTCTGGGAACCAGGCACGTGTAATGAGATGACAAACTCGTATCTCCATATAACTAAGCTATACATCATGAGAGGTTTCAGGGTAACTTATGGACGGGAAATGGGACGTAGCACCAAAAAGTTGAATTACCGAGTGGGGGATTTTAGGGTGGGACGTGGGACAGAAGCATCATCGCCAGTTGTTACGTTAACGTGCGCTTAAATTAGGCCCTGACCAGTTTATAGCTTAAGATTCGATTACATTAAATACTTTTATTTATTTGTAGCCCTATAATGTAAAAATGAAATCGTGCTTTGCTTATATGCATGACTTTACAATGACATCATGACCAAATCTTAAGGAGCCTATTTTATAGGAGGGATGCACACAAAAATCCTATGGTGCTGATTTGAGAGCAGGATGCACACAAAAATCCTATGGTGCTGATTTGAGAGCAGGATGCACACAAAAATCCTATGGTGCTGATTTGAGAGCAGGATGCACATAAAAATCCTATGGTGCTGATTTGAGAGCAGGATGCACACAAAAATCCTATGGTGCTGATTTGAGAGCAGGATGCACACAAAAAATCCTATGGTGCTGATTTGAGAGCAGGATGCACACAAAAATCCTATGGTGCTGATTTGAGAGCAGGATGCACACAAAAATCCTATGGTGCTGATTTGAGAGCAGGGTGCACACACAATAAAGCGTTGTTTTTTTAAATTTATTTCTTTTTAAAAATGTTTTGTTTTTAGTTTGCATAATTTATTCTCACGACTTACACAAAGTAAAATCACTGCTCTCAGAATTATACATCTAGTTAACTGCTATTGAATTGTGGACATAGAAACCGTCTTTTGAAATTGTACAATTAGCCAAATAACGCATTCGAAATCGCCAAAGATAGGTACTTCCCATACGAGTTGTACAGATAGACTAGTTGATTTGAAGATATTAAAATATAAATAAAGTCTTTGAAATTATATGATTTTAAATTTTTCTAAGAATGGTACAGAAATGTAAAAATAGACAGCTCTTCTTAAAATTGTACAGATAAAAAAGTACTATTAAAATTGTTCAGATTGATGTCATCCATTAAATACAATTCTCTAAAACATTACCAGATACATTACAAAGTATGGTTATCTCTAGAAATAATGTCAATAGATTATTTTACTGCTTGCATAAAGAATTGTAAGAGTTGTATGTCAGAAAATAAAACTTTGCTTTTGAAAATCAATTTTCGGAACTTTCCATTGAAATACAAATTAATTCTCTGTATTTTAAACATCAAAATAACTTTCTTATACGCGCAGTTCTGGTGGTGGAGTGCGATATTGTGTTAAAATATGTTTGGGTAAAATATTGTGTATTTATCCATGTATAACAATATTCTTTATAATAACAAGTAGGGTCAGAAAAAAACAAAGATTTATGTAATGTCAATAATACAGAAAGTGTGTTAAAGTAAAAGGCAATTTTCGTTAAATGTTTAAACAGTTCACCATGACCACAGCCATGACGACTGCAATGACGGACCATGATCTAAAATGAAATTGTTAGACTTAAAATGTTCAGATGTGATGGATGAAGGAAGAACAGCTGGTCAACGATCTTGTCACCAAAATGACAACTTGCCAACCTCCACGGTCAACGTCCCTATGAAACCTACTCCGTGTATCCAGACCTACTCTTGGAAATGTCTTTCAAACATGTATTATTAATAACCTTGACCTTGGTACTCTTTGCAAGAACGTATTTATCTGAAAACAGCACGAGCTCCTCACGACTGACGTCATTGACGCCCAACGATACCAGGGGAAACACAAGCGGCGAAGACGTCAGTCAGGACGTGCATGTCAAAATTGAAAGGCACGTTCTGGCGATACTTCCCTACACACAGTCAATCGGATTCGGCTACCATGAGATCTATGTGGCGATGACTCTGGCGAATGAAACTCTATCGAAGAGAAATCTAACGAAACATTTTAAATTCCACTTTCGATTTGCCGATTCCAAATGCAATCACAAGGACGCCGCCATGGCATTGATCAATCATTACAATGACAAGCAGGTCAACGTGGTCATCGGTCCGTTCTGCGACTACAGCCTCTCGCCGCTCTGTAGGCTCGCTCCTTACTGGAAAATACCCGTCATCTCCCCCGGGGGGTTCAGTCACACCTTCAAGGATCAGAGAAGTGTGAATTTCATGACCTTGACCAGAATTGGGGGCACGCTCGACCCAATGATCCGTTTGTTCTTCACGTTCATGAAAATGTCCAGCTGGACAAAGTTCACCCTGATCTACGACCCCCTGGTCGACTTCAAACTGTGTTACCTTAGGGCTAACGCCATATCCGCCTACGCGAAGCACAACCCCGTGTTCCCCGTGGAGGTCAAGGATGTTCCGATTAATGCGACAAGCGTTAACATATCTCAGGTCCTAACGGAGCACGTGGGGACGCAAAAATGTGGTGAGTATTCGATACTTTTGATCCACACTCGCCTAATATGTTCACACCATTTATTATTTCCTTATGTCGTAAAACATTTTACATACACGATCCTTTGGAAATCTGGACATAAGGACACCCCAGCTTAGCACACACATGCGCACACACACAAAGCTCCCCGTCTTAAGCAGACGTCAAACTGTGGAAAACTTTACTGTCTCTGCCTGGTCTATTTATAAATTAGCAAGTGGGAATTCCCTGATTTTACGTAAGACAAAACACGTTGTGATATTAGGAAAGAAAGGGTCAATAGGATGATGTTCAATGTAGAGTAAGTTTGATTTCATCTGGATGGATTCCACCAGTCCAGCGGAACACATGTTTACTAAATTAGCAAAGGTCAGTCGTACAGAAAACTATTTTTAAAGCACTAATACCTCCCCCCCCCCCCCCCCCCCCCCTATTTTTTTTTTTTTTTT